ATTATAGGGATCCCAGGTTGTTGTTATCAAATACCGACAGTTTATACCACCCGTCCACTGTTGTGGTAACTATTATAGGGATCCCAGGTTGTTGTTATCAAATACCGACAGTTTATACCACCCGTCCACTGTTGTGGTAACTATTATAGGGATCCCAGGTTGTTGTTATCAAATACCGACAGTTTATACCACCCGTCCACTGTTGTGGTAACTATTATAGGGATCCCAGGTTGTTGTTATCAAATACCGACAGTTTATACCACCCGTCCACTGTTGTGGTAACTATTATAGGGATCCCAGGTTGTTGTTATCAAATACCGACAGTTTATACCACTCGTCCACTGTTGTGGTAACTATTATAGGGATCCCAGGTTGTTGTTATCAAATACCGACAGTTTATACCACCCGTCCACTGTTGTGGTAACTATTATAGGGATCCCAGGTTGTTGTTATCAAATACCGACAGTTTATACCACTCGTCCACTGTTGTGGTAACTATTATAGGGATCCCAGGTTGTTGTTATCAAATACCGACAGTTTATACCACCCGTCCACTGTTGTGGTAACTATTATAGGGATCCCAGGTTGTTGTTATCAAATACCGACAGTTTATACCACCCGTCCACTGTTGTGGTAACTATTATAGGGATTCCAGGTTGTTGTTATCAAATACCGACAGTTTATACCACCCGTCCACTGTTGTGGTAACTATTATAGGGATCCCAGGTTGTTGTTATCAAATACCGACAGTTTATACCACCCGTCCACTGTTGTGGTAACTATTATAGGGATCCCAGGTTGTTGTTATCAAATACCGACAGTTTATACCACCCGTCCACTGTTGTGGTAACTATTATAGGGATCCCAGGTTGTTGTTATCAAATACCGACAGTTTATACCACTCGTCCACTGTTGTGGTAACTATTATAGGGATCCCAGGTTGTTGTTATCAAATACCGACAGTTTATACCACCCGTCCACTGTTGTGGTAACTATTATAGGGATCCCAGGTTGTTGTTATCAAATACCGACAGTTTATACCACTCGTCCACTGTTGTGGTAACTATTATAGGGATCCCAGGTTGTTGTTATCAAATACCGACAGTTTATACCACCCGTCCACTGTTGTGGTAACTATTATAGGGATCCCAGGTTGTTGTTATCAAATACCGACAGTTTATACCACCCGTCCACTGTTGTGGTAACTATTATAGGGATCCCAGGTTGTTGTTATCAAATACCGACAGTTTATACCACCCGTCCACTGTTGTGGTAACTATTATAGGGATTCCAGGTTGTTGTTATCAAATACCGACAGTTTATACCACCCGTCCACTGTTGTGGTAACTATTATAGGGATCCCAGGTTGTTGTTATCAAATACCGACAGTTTATACCACCCGTCCACTGTTGTGGTAACTATTATAGGGATCCCAGGTTGTTGTTATCAAATACCGACAGTTTATACCACTCGTCCACTGTTGTGGTAACTATTATAGGGATCCCAGGTTGTTGTTATCAAATACCGACAGTTTATACCACCCGTCCACTGTTGTGGTAACTATTATAGGGATCCCAGGTTGTTGTTATCAAATACCGACAGTTTATACCACCCGTCCACTGTTGTGGTAACTATTATAGGGATTCCAGGTTGTTGTTATCAAATACCGACAGTTTATACCACCCGTCCACTGTTGTGGTAACTATTATAGGGATCCCAGGTTGTTGTTATCAAATACCGACAGTTTATACCACCCGTCCACTGTTGTGGTAACTATTATAGGGATCCCAGGTTGTTGTTATCAAATACCGACAGTTTATACCACCCGTCCACTGTTGTGGTAACTATTATAGGGATTCCAGGTTGTTGTTATCAAATACCGACAGTTTATACCACCCGTCCACTGTTGTGGTAACTATTATAGGGAGAAGATAGTCTCCCCTTCTAAGAGAACGTTCTCGAGTACCTGTCGCCTGAGCAGAGGTCTGCTCTGTAGCAATTCCTCGACATGGCAATAACACATGTCGGGGAGAAGTCCGATCTGTCGACTTCAGGGCGGAATGTGACATCGAACCAGACGACCCTCAGTGAGATTCGTCTGATGAAAATAATATTTGAGTTTAATTTTCTTTCTATATCAACCCTATATAAGTCACACACACACAAAAACCTTTATTAAGACACACAGGTCTTACAGAGGATTCTCCTTGGGGTTACAAGACGGAGAAACCTATGAAAGTGGGAAATATACAAAGGAATAAAAATGGAGAAAGATTATATACACATGATAAATATATAACCCTATATAATCTTATATGTACGATTAATAAAAGTATATTCAATCTCCCTCATGAGAGGTTTTTTTTTTTTTACTTTACTCAGTGTATAGAGAGTTTTGGGATAAGTCACACCCCCCACAACAAAAGAATATTTTAGAAAGTGTGTGTACCCCCCTGGCCACCCTAAATGGTGGTAGGTCCAAGATCAACAAAGGCAGACGAAATGTTTAGCCAGAGAGACCAAAGAACCTAAACAAATCCGAGCAACCGACATAAACGTCACCTAAATTCCTTCTCCAAACAAACCTACCCACAGAGAGCCAGATGGAGAGAGAGAAAGAGGATTCAGTTCAGCACCACTGGATAGCCGACTTCATTTCCCGCCCAAAAAGATCCCACTTAAAAATTGTTTGATTCAAATTATCTATGATAGATTTTTAAATGTCTATATATAAATATATAAGGTGTATTCTGAAATCAATTCGAAAATAAATTTTCAACTCTTAAAATATTCATTTAGCTCTTTTGTATATATTTGGGCACTCTGCATTTCCCTACAAAGAAGCATCCCTTAGTATCGTTTGGTTCAAATTTTCTGATTTATAAATAAAGATTTTGGTAAAATTTTACTATATACGCTGGAAAATATTTATTATCTTATTTTAAAATATATTTATTTACCTTTAGTAGGTGTTTTCTTTGATTAATAATCTCGATTTTTTTAATTAAAAAAAAAAACATAATTTTATAATTACAAATACAGGCAAATATAAGCAATTATTAAGTTTTTTATTATCGTTATTTTATTATTTTTAATTTAAAAAATATATCACCAAAAATTATTTTGTCAGCTATCCTAAGTAGTTGAATATATAAATGGCAGAACACATCCAAGGTTGAGCTATTCCTTTGATAAATAATTCCTTGCTTCTTAATATTAAACTGATAATTTTAGCAAAAATAAATTTTAAATGCTATATTTATTTATGAATTATTTTATTTTAAATAAAAAATGATATCTCTCTTTTGAGTATAACAATGGTTTAAATTAAAATTTTATTTTGAAACAAAAATTCCATTTTATATTTCCTCTATATAAATATATATTTTATAAATTCATATAATCTAAAGTACACAAAAAGAAAAATAATAATTTAAATATTCACTTAGTAAATGAAACAAAAATAGTTTCAAAAAATCCTAATCCATATCAAAGTAATTTGAAGAAAAAATATTCATTGATATAGGTTTTTAACTTTTAATTAGACAATTTAAATTTATATTTAGACATTTTTCATTTTAATTTAGACACTTTCATTTTTATTTAGACATTTTCAATTTTAATTTAAACATTTTTCATTTCAATTTATACATTTTTCCTTTTAATTTAGACATTTTTCATTTTAATTTAGACACATTAACTTTTCTATAAAAAGTCCATGTGTCTAAATAAAAGTGAAAAATGTCTAAATATAAATTAAAATTGTCTAATTAAAAATTAAAAACCTATATATCGTGATATTTTTATTTAAATTTGACAATGAGAAAGGTTCGGTTGTCAAGAGCAACAACAAACAAACAATAGTAATTAATTCTCTCTTTATCTCTCTGTTGTAAATGATTAAAAAATAAGCTCATTGAATAAAATATAATTAAAGAAACAATAAAAAATATATGTTAAGGATGATATTGAATTAAAATATTCCCTATTGAATATTAGAAAAGATATGGGGAATTATGATATAAACTTTGATGTAATATTCAACATTTGTGATAGCGAGAAAATACTGGCGCAAATTTAAAAGGAAGAAAGATGTAAAGCAAATATATTCAGACAATATTATAAACTTTATTGTAAATATGAATACCAATATGTTGAAGAATGCAGGTAAGAATTCTTTGATTACCCTGATAATCATCCCGAAGACATATTTCAATTAAACCAATTTTTTTTTTAATTTATAAATCAACCAGGCGCGATTTTGAAATACTTGCACCTAATACAGAGGAAACAAAACACACACAGCAAACAAATTAGAACTTAGAATTTTTCCATTGCAGTAAGAGGACAGTAGAAATTGTTTATTTTAAAAAAGAATCATACGCGTCTATAATAGTTTCGAATTTTGATAACAGATGGCGCGCTAATGCATCATAATTAAATATTTAAAAATGTTCATGTATTATTCTACAGAGTTCATGAAAAAATTAAACCAGATGAATCCAACTTTTGTATTAATCTCAGATGTTAACTCTGGTGTCACCTCTCTAGTGATGAGGGCCACAATATCCTTGTCAGCTGGATAGACCAAGCTGATTCTCCTTCTTGATCATCAAATCTTGATACACTCACTATCAGCCAGCCTGCCAGAAGTTGGGCAAATATTACATGAAGAGAATTGACATAATTGATTGTTAAGAAAAATATAAATCAACCAGACGCCAGTTGAGCTTTTTTAAACCAATCTCAATAATCTTTATCGAGATAAAATTTTTAATTATTATTTATGACAATATGTTTCTTATGATATTATCAAATATTAATTCTACTGAACATGCTTTAATTATAAAAACGACATTTGAAAATTATCCCGCATGTGTTTCTTTTAAACGAAAAATAGAAATTTATTTTTAAGGAGAAATAACGATTATTTCTAACCTTAGGGATGAATTATGAAAGGATGAATTGTGAAGAGTAATGATAAACGGAAAAATAAAAGTGTCCAAGGATGGGAATAGGCCTAGTGGACATGGCGTCTGCCCGGTGGGCGGAGCGCTGTGGGTTCGGTTCCCATCCCTGGACACTTTTATTTTTCCGTTCATCATTGCTCTTCATGGTTCATCCATTCATGCCTCATCTCTGGGGTTGGAAATAATCGTTGTTTCTCCTTTGATTTTGATTTTTCGTTGAAGACTCTTTTTGTGTTGTTTTTCTTGCTTCCCTCTTTCTCTTTCTGTTTTTTTTTTTCTTTTTCTCCTGTCTATATCGTTATTTCCTTTGTCTCACTGCTTTGTTCTTATGCATACCTCTGGTGAATCCTGTATAGGGTCAGTGACCCTAAATAAAGGCTTTTTGTTGTTGTTGATTTTTCGTTGAGGAGAAACTCATGCGGGATGGTTTTCGAATGTCGTTTTACATGTATCATATGTTAGATGCCCTTCTTACCTGAAAGCTTGTAAGATCATCCTCTTATAAAAGAAGCTCTTTTTCCCCTACTTGTGTATTTTCTTCCATAATGAACAGGGAGATTCTGCTACAATATATATTTATAATCAACTCCCTCGCCAATAACTGGCTCAACCTCCCTAAACGAACCAGTAATGAGATCCTCCCAGGGTGGAGCAGGTCTACTCCCTTTCAGAGATAGAGATTGAAACTACTTTATTTCAAAATCCATATAAGATTATATAAGGTTAAATACAGAATAAATATAAATATGAATATAAATAGGATATATTATATAATGATAAAATATGAATAAATAGATATAAATTTATAAATATACATATATATAAATATATATACAAGGTCTTCATTGGTGGTGCCCACCGCTGGAAAGACTCCGCCACCGGTGGACTGCGAGAGTTCTTTCCCACAGAGTGGGCAGGTCGATGTGCTGGCTGGTGTTACCCACCTCAAGACCAAGATGGTACTTGTAGATGGTAGCCTTCGACACACTTGTTATATCTCAGAGATAGAGAGGAACTATCGAAGATGACCCAGGATTCAAACGATAATTATCGCTGTCTCAATTCTCTCCTTCTTTGTGTTGTATATATTTCCCGAGCGGGTCTCCTTAATCTAAGTAAATAATGGAGAAATTACCTTTTTAGGTTGTTAATATTTTACTGTTGTTGTTGTTGTCTTCCTCGTTGATGGCAATCTTTAATGTTGAAAGTAACGTTTTGTTTTAGTGTTGCGTTGAATATACACAGTAATAATTTGAAAATACTGTGTCAACATATACACTCATGGACAAAACTTAAGGAATTTTTATATTTTATGTCGCCGGTTGTCTGTTTTTTGAAGGAGACATTTTCTTCACACTTGGTTATCTCGTGTCTTCAATAAAGGTTACTGTGTATCAAATATCTTTCACAGTTATTGTCTGAATCCCAATATACATGCTAAAAGGTACAATTTGTTTTTTTTTTTATTCTCGTGTGTCTTCAATAAAGGTTAGCGTATATCAAATATCTTTCAGAGTTATTGTTTAAATCCCAATATACATGCTAGAAGGTACACCTTGTTTTTTTATTTTTTCTTCTCGTGTGTAGGTTAGCGTATATCAAATATCTTTCAGAGTTATTGTCTGAATCCCGATATACATGTTAAAAGGTAGGACTTCTTTAAGTTATGTTAACGAGTGTATAAGAAATGAAAAGTAAATTATAATTTTAAACAATAATTGTTGATAAAAAGGTGCCTAAATCCTGATCATAAATATATGGAAAGATTACAAGGAACTTCCAAGTAGTGGAATGTAAGAAAGTTCGACTCACGGTAGAAGATGAAAGAAACAGTTGCCGTCAGTAACTCATGAGAAAAGACAGCTGGCTATAAATTAGGATGACATTCTAAAGACGCATTTGGAAGATGTCCAACTGCGTCGATCAATTTACAGTACTTTCTTTGATGTTAATGAACGTCATATTTTGTAGTATTCATACTTCTCACTACTCTTCATCATGTCTAGGGTAGCCTAGTGGACATCTGCCCGGTAAGCGGAACACTGTGGGTTCGATTACCATCCCTGGACACTTTATTTTTCCGTTTATCATTACTCTTCACAATTCATCCTTTCATACTTCATCCTTAAGGTTAGAAATAATCGTTATTTCTCCTTACTCTTCATCATGTCCAGGGTAGCCTAGTGGACATGGCATCTGCCCGGTAAGCGGAACACTGTGGGTTCGATTCCCATCCCTGGACACTTTATTTTTCCGTTTATCATTACTCTTCACAATTAATCCTTTCATACTTCATCCTTAAGGGGGGTTAGAAATAATCGTTATTTCTCCTTACTCTTCATCATGACTGTATTGACTCATCCATTGATGAGCTCTACTCTTCCCCAGCAGACACCATCAACAAGCTTTACAAGCTTGATACCCTGATATGATTGAGTGGAGATAAGAAAGAAGAAGAAGACTACTCTTCACATGCGTGTACACTCTCGAATATTGAAACATAACTGCATAAGCCCTCTTTATAAAATGGAGTCATTTTGTATTAATTGTGTGTGTACTTTTTACAATATATTGTAGTATTTATTTTTTTATTAACAGATTATATCAAGAGATTTTGATATTTATCTTCTGATACTCTATAAACTTACCTCATTGGTATTTTATAAATGTTGATTTATTCTTGCCTTATATATAATAAATTGCCTGTGTGTCATCCTGAAATTTGTCTTTCCTAATTTTCTAGGGGACATTCAGGTATAGATGCTGGGTAGTATAGGAAAGACAAACTGAAGATCGCCAAGAAGACCTTGAGGCCATGGGTGCTCGGAAGGGCCCCCGGATGGGACGACTTGCCCTGCGAGTTCTACATGGCCTACGAGGACTTCTTCGTCAACGCTCTCAAGCGCGTCTACGAGGCCTCCCAACTCGCCGGGGTTTTGCCTACATCGACACGGCGCAGCACCATCTGCCTGGTCCCCAAGTCTCACGGCGGCCCTGGACTTTGCGGCTACAGGCCTATCTCGCTCCCCACGACGGACTACCGGATCCTGGGCAATGTCCTCCTCCGGCGTCTGCGGCCCCATCTTCCGGTTCTGGAACCTCAGTGCCAGACCTACGCCGTTCCCGGTAGGTCCCCTTCTTGGAACATCTCGCGTGTGCGCGACGAGGTCGACGCGGCTGTGAGGACCGGCTCGCCGCTGGCCGTCATTTCCACCGACCTCGAGTCTGCCTTCGACACCCTAGATCGCGGCTTCTTGGTGTCCCTGATGGTCTCGCTGCGGCTGCCACAGGTCTTCATCGGGTGGTTTCTCCTCCTCTATTCCGGAGCGGACGCGACAGTCCGAGCCGGAGGCCTCCACACCAAACCCTTCCAGCTTCTGAACGGTGTGAGACAGGGCTGCGCCATCAGCGCCGCAATGTTCAGCCTCGCCACAAGCCCTCTCCTACGTCGCCTTGAGCAAGCTCTCGGCCCCGGTAATGTCCTCGCCTACGCCGACGACATCGTCCTGCTCATCCGCAGTGAGGAACAGTTCGGCGTGGTGACCTCCATCTTCGAGAACTTCCGGCGCGCCTCCGGCATAAAGGGAAATTTCACCAAGAGCAAAGGTCTATGGTGCGGCGCCTGGCGTGCCCGCAACGACGCTCCACTCGGCATCTCCTGGTCGTCGGTCGAACTGAAGGTGTTGGGCTGCAATGTGACGCCAGGAAATCAAAACTCAGCCCAAGAAAGACATATCCTGGTCCTGCTCGAAGCTGCTATAACGAGGTGGTCCCCCTACACCCGCGGCCTCTCTCGTCGGCCGGGCCAGAGCGGCCAACTCCTTGGTTCTCTCCTCGGTGGTCCATCACATCCACGGCTACCTGCCTACCGACCGTACTATCCACAAGATCCAGGCACGTCTTGCGCGGTTCATCTGGGGGCCGGAGCGCACCGCCTGGTTTCCTGGTAGCGTCCTGGCGAGACCTGTCTCTCTTGGAGGATTCGGCCTCATTGACATCGAGACCCAGCTGCGGCTGTCGTGCTTCAAGGGCGTGCAGGCCGCACTGCGTGGAAACCGTAATGCCTACTCTTGGCTGGTCGAGAGCGATGCGTGGCTATATCCACCTCCATCCGGGTCCTGGCTCTCGCCACGGCGTCTCCGGCTTCTTAAGATCTGGGAGGCGGTTGCTGACATCTTCACGCTAGACCACTCTGTGCTTACACCACATCAACTCCTGAACCTCCCCATCATAGGTGGCTGCCGCCTTCTCCGGCCACCCGACCTTCTCGCTCCTACCCGGTGGGTCAATGCCTGCATTGGGGACTTCGCTGGCCCTGCCCCTCCCCTCACTCGGCCTACGCGCTGCACCCTGGCTGACGCCGCGTCGCTGACCAGCTTCTGCCGTCGTCTTATCGACGAAAATCTACGCGGGACCTACCGAGTAAACGCCATCGGCCAGGCCGTAGTGCTGCGCGGGACGACTACGCCGTTCTTGCGAGTCATCACCCGAACTGCCCGTCGCATCTTAGAGCGTCCACGCCTGACTGCCCTGCCCATCATCCAGTTCGCTAGAAGGTGGGAGGAAAATATAAACCTACCCATCAACATCGGCTGGTCGTCGCTCCGGCGCTGCGCCTTCTCCGGGCACAACGCGGACGTGGCAGTGAGGCTAGCTTTGCACGCCCTGCCCCATCCAGCCCATCCAGCATCGGCACATCAGTCTTGCATCGCCTGTGTGTCCGGCGACCTGTCGCTGGTTCACAGGTACTGGTCCTGCCGCTACATCAGGCCTCTCATCAGGGAGGCATTTACCATCATCGGGCGGCCCCCTGACTTGCAGGGGTGGGTCTTCGGGCATGGCCTAGACGATGACGCCCTGGCCATCCTGGCGTCTGCCAAGACGCGCATTTATAGGCACTTCCTCGGCGCGGAACTGAGGAGTGTACAAGAAGACCCCCTCCTTGTCTGGAGGAGGACCCTCTCAAGGTGGGGAAGCCTTCCTTGCTGAAGATATTTGTATATATATTCCCCTACACTTTATATGCCCATTTACTCTTTTATATTTTCTCCTTTGTAAAATTTGATTGAAAGAATCAATAAAATTGTTTAATTTGTCTAAAAAAAAAAAAAAA